ATTGCGCTTCACTTTGATTTGCCACACGGTGGCCGAACATATTAACCCCAATTTTATTAGGCATAATTTGAAATACTTATGTGTTCATTGTTTTCGTCAAACGCTAATTATTCTCATAAATGATCTTAAAAGCTTAAATCCAACAAAACATGGAAAGCAGCTCTGTGGGAAACATAAGCTGAGGAATACTGGACGCAAACCTGTCGGATTCTTTGCTAAAAATGTCAACTGAGAATTGTTTGGTCTTTATCATTTTTATTCCTACTACATATTTCCAACCCGGTAAACAGGCAGCAAAAGTCTTTTGTCTACAGTGCACTCAGTGAATTTGACAAACACCACTGAAATTTGGCTTTAATTTCGGTAAACTGACGATCAACGCCGTTGTGTAATTTGTTTCTTGTGACATTTGGTTCTGTTTAGGCAACTCGCTTTGAGCCTGAGTAGGTAATCAGTTGAGTTAGTCGTACATATCGAATTTCATTTGGTTGCAGAGGACAACATGTTGAAGCAGTCGGCGCTGACAAAATCCAGCTTCACAAATTTGGACGTGATTTACCTTTACCTGGTGATCTGATTCTTTTGCAACGTGCTTTTACTTGAGCAAATAAAACCGGTTTATCACAGAAAAACCAGACAGATCCTAACGGCCTTGTTGTCTGTTGAATGGAATCGCGTTTTATTGAGCTTTGTCAGGAGGTTATGGAAAAGCGCTCTAAATGCTTTCAATATAACTGAATACAAATACCGTCTGCTCCGAAATCTTATCAAAACGGTCCTTCACTGGATGAGGCCTAACAGTTCAACTTGATAAGCAAAGGAACAGTCAGCCCCCAAAAAAGAGTTGAGGAAGATCCTTGAAACAACAGATATCAGTATCTAATCAGTAAACCAAAGCCTATCCAAACATTTATCAGACGAAGAAGGCGAGTTCACTTCATTACAACGAACCCACACAGTATTTGTGAATCATGAGAATATTTTAAGGAGTTAACTCTCAAGGGAGCTCCATCTGAACATTGCCAAAATTTACAGTGTCAAGGGATGCAAGCGTTTTTTCCATCCAGATGGATGCAATCATCAAGCCAACAGAAACTCACGCTTCGCGAAACAATTACTTTAAAAGATGAGTGGTGCTATATTTTACTTACGTGCTAGCTAAGAACATCGCTGGTCAGCCGCCCGTGGCCAATTGGTTGAGTGTCTAAACTACCAGAAGGATGTTCAGTGTTCGAAACTCTCTAGAGTTTCGTGTTATGCACACCACTCATGATCACCAGTAAAGACAAAAACAACTTTACAGTCGTTCTTCAACATACAAAAGAGATCTCTGGAAATAAATTACCTTCTTTAAGCAACGCGCTCCGAGTCGAGAAAATGATTTCATCATCAGATTTTGTGATCGGGAAAGCTCAGTGGCGAACGCACGAATTTACCGGAATTTCCGTGGTCCAAACTCAACGGCTGTATATGGACCTCGCCTGTATAGGCTCAGGTAGCCTGGAAGTGTCTTAGCCCCCATGCATCCTGCAGTTGGAGTGGCAGCTACGCACCAAAGAAGGCTGCAGCTGAATGACTATCATTATTACAGAGGTTTTTTGTGCAAATAAATTCATCTTACTCTCAAGGTGTCGCTATGTCATTTACGTTGGAACTTACTGGTTTTGCGCTTTTTTTGAAACATATAGAGATTCGAACCCACGACTCTCTGGATAACGGGTTAGTCTTCGTCAACTGGCTAAGATGTGGTATCTTAAACTTGAACAGAAGGGGACACAGTGTCGGTCATGCCCTAGTCATACAGTTTACTTTCCGTAGAGAGGCGATGATCGGTTTTGCAGGCTTTCAACCTACAAATGGCTTAAGTCCACTTGCATGTGTTTGCATCATTCACCTTCAGTGCACCTAGTAATAATGAGATAGGATCGCAGTTTCTTCAGGCTTTAAAACAGTCTAATTTGACTTACAGGCCGAAAATGCTGTGTCAGGTCAAAATTCCGTCTTTACCCACAAGAATGTCATCACACTTTGGGAAACTCGCTACGCCCTGACTCATAAAGAACATTTTCAGAATGATCCAAAGGGTCATCAACTTTTATATTAGTGCTTTTTATGGTTCGAAGACCGTGAGTGGAAAGTTTAATGATTTCACCCGAACTATACTGCAACAGTGCAATGAAGCAGAGCGGCTTGAAAGAACTAACAGGTATAGCTAAGGTTTTCCTGTATATAGCTTTAAATGAAAGCACAAATGGAGAACAAAATTGTGGGGCAACCTCCAAGACATAGCGGACACAAAAAAGGATGTTTTAGATGACGGCGGACACAAAAAAAAGATGTTCTTAGATGACGAATACAGGGCGGCCTATACACTGGTTTGAAAGTTTCGAAGAATAATAGGCAAAGGCACTTCGTTCCTAAGGGACCCAGCTCATTTGATATAACGTTAGAAGCTTGGGCGAAATCTTGAACGAAGTGAATTTCGGACTACGAGAAGGCGCCAGACAAAATAATTTACAATGTAGTGTTTTCAGAGCACTAATAGACAAAAAAGTATGGTTGATTGACTTCCATAAAAACGACACACTGCATTGAATGGCTTTATCTGAATGCATAGTCTTAATGGTGGACAGGTGCGCCAGACATGCAAAAACGAACTACTGATGTATTCCGATATGGATAGCATTGAAGGTTTGGTGAATTCAGGTTTGGGCTGTTATTCTGATCAAAATCATTTTTGGGGCAACTATTCTCCCACAGTACCTCCAATATTAATTCTTTTCGTTTTGGTTTAGGTGATCCACATTCTTTAGATAGGTTCATCGTTAACAGCGCTAGGAGGTACGAACATTTCAGAGCTGATATACTAAATCTATCAGGCATAAGTCCGATGTTCGGCTGTCTCAGGAGTGAAGCTTGTCAGTCGTTTTCTTTCCCGCAAAAGATGAAATCAATCAGTGAACGGAAATGAATCTATACAAAAGTTTATCAGATGCAGACTTAGCAACTTAAACTGTTTGAAATAGCACCAGACACTCATAGGTGTTGCGTGCAACGGACACATGGTCTAGCTTGTGAGAACTCTACTCAGCAGGCAGTAGTGTTGCCGCATTCTTCAGTCCACTTCTGTTCCATATTAGTTAGAAAAAAAATTGGAGTAAAGAACATAGTCTCGCAATTTCAGTTGAGGAAACTGGAAACTGAAACATTTCTGTACAAGGCTCGTTATCCATATCCCCTCCTCAACTCATTCGTCATAGTATATTTCTGTGTGTGTGTGTGGTGGTGATGTGAGAACTATCATAAGCATAGGCAAGCGGTTGGCCGCCGTCCACGAACTTGGGCTACCACCCCAACGTCACCACTGGTGGTCGTCCAATTGGAACAGCCTAACATATCTGCAGAGAAATTGCATTTGGGTTTGTCCATTATTCTCCACCAGGTTGTCTAGCAAATATTGGCCAATGCTTGAGCAGTCACAATTAGGCCACAGAACCACATTTTCCACTCGCAGAAGTAAAGCACACAAGCCACTGTACTTCACCCACTAGTCACAAAATACACATATGACAAAGAAGACATTCCATTGGACACTGACATGTCTAACACAAACCCATTGTGAATCGGCTCATTTGTGGTCATCTTTTTCCCGTCAAGGTTGTACTGGAGCAAATATCAGCCTAAGGGACCCATTGAATAGAATGTCGTTTCCCATACTTGTGTATTCAATAAACTAAAACCCTAGCAGCTACTGACTTAGAAAACTTACACTGAAAATCATTAGGGAAAAGCCTTATCAGTAGTGATGATAAAACCATTGTGAATATTTTTAACCGTTTGTGTATTATTCCTCCAAATGACTTATCATATTTCATGAGTTGACAGACGCAATTAAGTACTTTCTGTCAATATTTTGTTAAAAATATTGCGGGACTTTTACTCTTCTTCCGCCACAAGCTTAGTCCTGGCTACAGTATGAAAAACTCAATAGTTGCAACTTTCGTCTGTGGATACTTTTTAACGAAACTTTTAATCCCTATGATTAGTTTTCTGGAATTTGCCCTGAGTCCAATAAACCTGGAATAAAGTCACTCATGAGCAAATCTTTATGCAAGCTTGTTGACAGAATTGCGGATGCTCATGAAGTTCCTTAACCTCAAATCCGTGGGAACAAATGGCTTGCCACCATTAAGCTCATACAAACACAGAAATAGAAAAAACCTGAAACAACAATGTAGTCTAGCTGGAAAAGGTCACAATGAGAATCTCTGTGGTAATTCGTCCAGAAAAAACCTGAAAGAACAATGTAGTCTAGCTGGAAAAGGTCACAATGAGAATCTCTGTGGATAATTCGTCCTGTAAGTGAAGCCAATCTATGTTGAAAAGCCGAGAAGCACTGTACAGCTGTCTCATTCTTATTACCAATCATCAGCTGGGCGCATCTTAAAAAGCTTCGGAGAATCTCGAACCCGCGACCTCCTGGCTAGTAGTTTGATTACTTAACCGTTCGGCCACGGGTGTGATTGACTCGCACTTAAACAGAATATAGCGCCGTTCATGCTTCAATCTTTTCATTCTGGTAGGCAACATTTATCCGTCCCGTTCGGATAATTCGCCAATCTCCAGTTAATTTTCCCATAATATCCAGCTAAGCCCCAGAACAATGTGTCACAGGGAAGATCAATTTTTAGTGTCCGGAAATTCTGGCCTTCTTTGATGGCTCGTAATTATTTTGGAAGCGAATTACCCTTTGAAGGGTTTATTTTGGTCGGTTCATTTATCGCCCTTTTAGAGGAATTAAAAATGGCTGAGGATCTGTGCATTCAGATCCTGTCCGCTAATCAGCCGACGTTTTGTTGATCATATAAGTATCAAAAGCTAGCCATCCGTCAATTGTTCAAAAACGACAACATATGATTCGTTCTCTTATCACATTCTGACCCTCAAACGTGATATCAGTTCCAAAAATATTTATTTTTTTATTCCACTTTTTACCACAGTCACAGTGGCGAGGCTGAACGATATTTGCGCGAGTTGTCGAATCGCCTGCATCTGGCCTCACCGATAACACGTTTCTTGTAAGTTTTATCTTCATGGCGGAGAATTTACGCAACACTGCTGTTTGCTTCTTTTCACGCACGACTGCTTTTTCTGAGTTGGTGGATTTGGTTTTTAATGGCGGTACCGAACAATTACAGTTAGGAATACCACTTCCTAGGACCATGAGTGCGACAAACTTTATTCATCAGGAAGATTCCTCTCGCGGCAGACAAGCTTGTTCAACAGAAAACGAATACGGGAAACGACGCTGAGCTCACTGAAGCATCTCCACTAACAGTTTGCCTCAGAACAATTGCAAAGATGTAGCAGATCACTTTGAAGTAAACAGCATGAAGATTAGCCTTCTTACTTCTGCTGCAACTGTAACTCATAAACAACAGCACCATAACTACTACTTTTTGTGCACATTTTGGAGTCTCTTCGACCTTTTACCTAAGATAATCCAGACAATCCATTCTTCCTGTATGTTCATGCTACTGCATGCATGCAGCATTCGTTGTGTTTATGTTTCATTTATCACAAGTTTTGTTTCACAATTTTGGAGCTGGATGCACAATTTTATATTGTCAAATAGAAGAGAAGACTTCAAAATACCACGTTCCTCATGTTAATCATACTCTCAGTGTTTGAATAGCGACCTCGATGCATATGTCACTCGTCAAAGGGTCGAGTTTTGTGGCTATCAGTGTTGATCGGATGTTTACGAAATCAGAGTGTCAGCCGACCACAGATGACCAAACCCGAGTAAACTTCCGAGTAATAACCTTTTTGCCTTAGAAACATGAACTCGTTGACAAGAAGCTTAAAACAACGGAGCCATAACTGAGGCATGCTACTCAATAATGAGTCTCATAAGAAGATGAAAATCTGTCAACTCAATTTATCATTAAGGAGTCATACTAAATATTTGTTGGCTCTCTGATGTTATTTCATCCGATATCTGGTGTGTAGTTTTGTGTAGTTGTAGCCTTTGTGCAGTTCCCAATTATCGATCAGCTCCTTAAAGTCACACTGAAAAATGAGGAGAGAAAGAGTACTGCAGACGAAAAAGCGCAAGCGGAATCTAAACGGCAAATTGGGCTGTAGATAGCTTGTTCACTTTGGTACAGTATCAGATGTCGTTCTCGTACGAAAACGATGGCTCAGCCGGTGATCCAACTCAACTTAGTAAGAAAAACGGAGTCCTTTCAACAAAAATCTCAGAATATTTGTAGTCCATTTTATTGAGCATAATTGGGCTTGGCTGACCATGCTCTTTATCCTCAGAGTCATAGTGCCATAGTTAAATTACGATTAGACAGGGGCAGTTTATTGATACTGTGTAGCTCTCTTTGGGTACTGGTTGGATAAATGAGTTAGCGGTGTGGTTGATTTCCCGTTCTAATCAGTTCCAAATGAAAACTGGAAATCTGCTTGTATATCCGTGTTCCTTGTTCAAATTTGCATTCTTCATCAAGCGTTGACCATGCGATTGCTCAATCAACATGCTCTTGATCTATTTCATTCGTCTCAACAAAAGCCCTCCACAGAAAACTCACAAGTTTGTTGGATGTATTATTACCAGTCCGACTTTACACGCACTCAAATGTATCGAATTTTTTCACGAAAATTTAATGGCTAGCCATTGGGCCGGGAATTTAACTATGGAGCGATTTCTTTCGGTCAATCCTTCATAATTATTAATTAATTATTGATAATCATAATATTATT